TAAAACAAATATAATTAAAAAATAAAATAAAATATATAATAAAAATACTATAAATAATTAACAATAAAATAAAAAAAAATAAAAACATATAAAAAAAATACAACAAATAAAATAAAATTTGTAAAAAATATAATAATAATTTATAATATAAATAAAATTTCTTAAATAAAAAATTAATAACAATATTAAAAAAAAAGTAATAATATAATAAAAAAATAATAAAAAAAAAACAAAAAATAAATAATTTAAATTAAAAAATTAATAATTATTAAATATAAAATATAATAATAGAATAAATAATAACATTAAACCCACAAATAGAGCAAGCGTTGATAGATAAACCTAACCACCTTCTATCATTCATTAGAATTCATTACATAAAGTATTACATGTTAATCCATAACAAAATGCCCTACGGGCTTTACAGCTTTCCAAGTTAACACTTGGTTACAACATAAAGAGGTCTAAACTCGTTTACACATTAAGCCCTTGGTTTGAAATTACAATTGTAATACAAACAAAAGCAAAACGACAAAACTATGCCCCGCCACTAGCCCTCCCATGCTAATGTCCTTGGAGGTGGCATGCTTTCCTGTACCTGAAAATGATGTTTCCCATATAGGGTGAGCCAGCCCAGTTTAGAAATTACACTAAAGCCAACCATGGCAATGACTAAAAACATAGCAATTGATTAGTGGTATAACACTGTTACAATCACATAAATTACATTTTATGTCAATGACTTACAAGTCCCCAATTTAACTCTTCATTTTCCCTTTTTCAAACGATAAGCATGCTAGCTCTATCATCATTTCCACAGATATGTATAAAACTATATCTCACATTCAGAATAAGCAAAAAGACTATATCCCCATTCCAACAGATATGTTATATCAACAATATCCACAGATAAGCATACAAGCTGTATCCGACACTCGTACAACAACGTAATATGTTTCTCACAATATCCACAGATAGCATACAAGCCTGATCCACACTTCACTTCACAAAGATAAGCATATGAGCGCTCTATCTTTCACTTTCTTCTAGACAAGCATATGAGCTCTGCTTCTTACGGAGTAACATTCCCTATCTCCTCCAAATACCTATCCGCGTTTAGAGGTCCCATCCGCCTATCTTCCCCTAAACCGCGGAGGTACATCCCTATCTGCCTCCTCTACAACATAACCATATTCAAAACACATGGTTCTATATACAATCACACAATACAAAACAATTAATGTTATTCTAGCACTGTCAAGTTCATAAACATTCCATTGATTAGTTTTCAGTTTGCCAATCAACATACATTGTCTACAACAATCACGGACTACCTCCGCCGATAGCCCAAAGCAGTTATTCTCTAAAAACAGAAAATAAATCACAAATGGAATTATTCAATAACATTTCATTTCCTCATTTCTCATCAATTAATTTCCCAATTAATAAACAATGTAGATTTAGGCCATTTTCCATAATTTACCGTTTCAACCCTTAGGTCCCATTTCATCAATGATTCAACGATCATTCCATTTTCTGCTATCTCCAAACATGCATCTAGGTTATTATGAAAACCCCAATCTCTTTTGTAAAATTACACAAAAGCCCCAAACGCTTTACAAGATTACCAAACCAAAGCCCAACCATCTCAAATACAAAATTTAAAGACAAAACCCATAGAGAGGAGTAGGAATATCCTACCCGTCAAATTCGGAGCTCCAAGGGAGAAGACAGACAAACCAAACGTGCTTCCCAAAACCCGAGATTTGGTCAGATTAAAATGAAGCCCTCGACGAAACAACAACTTTTTTATAAAGGCCAAAGGTGAGTAAGATCACTTCCTACTAGATCAAACCTAGAGAGAAGGTAGTATCTAGAGAGAAAGACTCAATCAATGGTGTTTTTGGAAAAGTAAGAGAGAGAAAGAGAAAGTGAAAAGTGATTTTGAAGGAGTCACAATTTCGGCGACTTAAACCAGTCTTCCGCGTCGAGCGTAAAACCACCCCCGCTCGAGCGGCCGCACTCACAGACTTCCGCTCCGAGCGGCCACCTCCCCGCTCGAGCGCAGAATGCACTCACCAGCACTTTGCGAGCCAGGCCTCCGCTCAGAGCTCCCAACCCTACGGCTCGAGCTCACAAACTGCACACAGATACTGGCATGGATGTAAACTACGCTCGAGCGCCAAGCACCCTCCGCTCGAGCGTAACAGGCCAAAAAACTGGGCAACTAGTTTTGGTTTCTAACTCAACCAACCTATAAACAAACCCGCTCAAACATCCTATAACTCAAATACAAAGTAGAGAAGATGAGTGTAAAACAAGATAACAACAACTACCACATCCACGGACACATGTCCGGATTCACTATACAACAAGGGTAAACCTGGGATCGCTATAGGTACCTCTTCTTTTTACGCATTTGAGTTTGTGGCTATTGGATTGTTCAAACGATAAATTATTTGTTATCCATTCATTAGGCACGAAAATCCAATTTGAAATGCAGAAAAGAACAAATAATAATGGTTGTTTTTATTTAACATATACCATAATTCACTATTTAAATAATTTTGACAACTGGGCTTATTTATTTGAACTTTTTCTTTTATTTTTTTTATAATTATTTTCTGGTTTAATTTGATTGAGCAGGGTCCCTACAGGTGGAGCCACATCACTCGAGGGTCATACATTATCACCTCATGGAGGTGTTTGCATTGACATGAATTTGATGAAAGTATGAGCCTGTTTCTTGTTATAAATCACGCCACATGATTTTAAGGCCCCTTTTATCAGTAAAATTTAGTTTATTGACATTCATTAAAATTTAGATTATTATATTGAAATCTGAAGGGTCTCAATTAGAGTTACAATTACAATGTCAAAAAGGAGTAAAATAAAATATCCTAATACCATAATTTCTCCACATGAAGCACTGGACTTAAAAAAATTAAAATTGAGGGTTGGCTCATCTTCTATAAGGAGGGTCTATGTTCCAGTTCTTTCTACACTTGATGTTGCTTTTGTACTAGTTATAAACTAAAGAGTAGTGGAGTTCTGTTTCTCTTTAAAATAATAGTTCTCCTTTTTAACAGTGGTGGAGTTCTATTTCCCTATGTTCCCAAACTTTAAGTTTTCAATTTATTTTCAAAAAGATTTTCAATAGTGGAAAGAAAAAGATAAAATCAGCTTTACTTTCCATTATGAAGAATAGCTACAACAGAAATTCAAACTGAAATGTAAATAAATGATCATTTTGTTAACTTCTCAACTCTTAACTTCTTCAATGCTTCACTTCATTTGACGGTTCTCGGCTTCAAGACTACAATCAACTGAAACCATGCTTAAATGCGCAGAAGGGGAAGAAGTATAAACAATAAACTTTCAAATTTAAAGGTACTATAAAGCAAGAGTTAGAGAGAATATTGGTGCTAGTTGTATGATTTAATTTTAACTTCTCGTGGTGATAAGGATAGAATTGGGAATATTTCTTAGAAGCTATGCTTTTAATCAATCATGGACAAAATTTTGTGTCCTCGTTTTTTGCAGGATGTTCACAGAAGCAATATCTTCTTTTGTTTCTGTCCCCTAGCATGCCCATTATGTTCAAATTTGTGGTGGTGTTTATCTGAGGTTGCTTTCGTTCTTTAGTTTTTTTTTTTTTTAATCTTTGCAATATCGTTTCTGCTTCATTGGAAGATATTCAATCTATTTTTATTTGCAGTTGGACCTCATTTATTCAATTTCTATCAATGCTCAAAAATTGTTTTGCATTTCTTTTCCTATGCTTGTAATAAAAAACAGAGTAGTTGTATTCTTATCTTTACTAATATTGTTGCTTCCTCCAGATACATGCATGATGAGCTAATTCATTGCAAGGTATCCATTGTTGAACCAGGAGAGTAACAAGAGTTGCTGAGGTCATATTCGAATCATTGATATGATTAGCATATACCCCACACTGAAGCTCCTCATGAAGCTCCAATCCTTTCAAGTGGTTACTTCCATTTTTATCCTATTGAAGCTCCTCATGAAGCTCCAATCCTTTGAAGTTGCTGCAAAGCAATAAATATTGAGCTGAAGCAATTTTCTCATCATGAGTGTTTATGTTTTTTTAGGTTATGGTTGAGAAAATGGGACTTCCTGATGGATTGGATTCTGGTACATCTAAAGGTTATGGTGATGTTCTACGTAAGTTACAATTATAACTTATGTTTTTGTTGTTTACTAAACGTGTTTACGTGGCTGCTAATGTGTACCATTTAATTTTATGTAATTGAAGGTTGTTGTCGGACGTGGAGTAAGATTGAAAGACGGATTGCCACTCTTGAGTTTGACCGTGATAGGAAATCGATGGGAGTTATAGTGAGTTCCAGCTCAAGAAGAAAGTCATTGCTTGTAAAGGTGCATACACCACCTTTTCCCTCCCTCACTCTTCTTTCATTTAGCCATGTGGAGTTTTATAGTTTTTAATTCGATGTATTGTCACATAGGAGAAACTGATTTTCTGATAAGAATTGCAAAACTATAAAATGTGGTTCCACCATTTTAATCTTTGTTTCAATTTTTTTTGTCTCTTTGCTAGTATTTTTTGCAACTTCAATTTGCGTGCGAGATAGATTGTGAACAAATTTACTTGGAACTTTAATGGGGAAGAGTATGATGAATGGGTGCTCAATGAACAAATAGAAAAAGGGTTGATGGACCATGGGAATCTTGCTACAATTTCTACACTTCTAACACTGATCTGGAAGCACTATGTTAGATATAGAGAAAATATTTTTTGGTTGAAAAGTTCATATCTAATTTATAAAATGTACAAAATGAAAACGAGATGTCACGACCCCATTCCACCCTTAGTAGAATGGTGCCGTGATGGCCAGTAATCCGAGATTACCAAAGGCTAACTTACAAAGATTCACACACAATCAGAGTATACATATGGGGCTTACATGTGCGGAAGTAATAAATTTAAATCTAAGTAGTCCATAAGAGCTGTGCATAGATCAAATGAAATGTCATACATCTTAACATGGTTTTACAACTTGGATACAAATAAAATAAAGTACATGTCACATCTTGATCAAAAGGTATCTCAAGCCGATATATACAAAAGAAATGAATTAAAAACTAAGAAGCATAATCTTCAAGATGCTAGCAAAACATGAATCCAAAACATCTTGCAAATAACATCTTAGGCGACACCACCTTCTTGCTCGTCACCTACATATATATAAAGAGGAGGGTGAGCTTGGATACTCAATGAATGATATAAATAATAAAGGTTTGAATGAATAATATCCGAGATCTTTATCAAGGCAATACATAGCATAACTTGTACAAAACGTGGGATGAATCAAGTTTATCAATCAAAGCCTTTCAAAGTTGTTTGGGATGTTTACTAACATCTACATAATACAAAGGATGACATTCCTGACAAAACAAAGGAATAACCGACCCGGAATCGGTTAGACAAACCCACCCGTACAAGACCGTCGGTGGTACCATCCGTACATGACCGTCGATGGCAAGAGATATCTCAAACATAGGTGCTACATAGGCTTAATGTCCCCTAGCACGAAAGGACCTTCCAAGAATGTCATCAAAACAAACATAATACTTGATACAAAAATTAGAGGATAATCATTCATACTTGAACAAACACTTTTCCAAAACGAAACAAAGCAAAACTTTTATCAAAACATTGTAACATAGCTTTATTAAAAATACCACTCATATAGCTCTTCGAATGTAAGGATTAATGCAAGGATCCAAGACCTACAAATACATAATAAAAGTCCACTGAATGCACTTCAAGAAGACAAGAAGGAATGCTCAAAGATGGTTGTGAAATGCACTTTCAAAACAAGCCTTATATGAGGGTAAAGATCCTGCCATTTCTTTCTAAAACCAAGTCAAAACAAAGCAAAACATGTGCTGGGAATTAAAACACTGTTTTTCTTCTAGGGAAAACATGCTGGGAGTCAAAACACTGTTTTTTTTCTAAGGAAAACATGCTGGGTACCAACCAGGTCTTGGAATGGATGTACGGAGATGATCTAGACAAAAGTGGCCTAGCTGGGTGAACTCAGGGGGTCTTGGCCCAGGTCTCACGCCTCTTGGCCGAGGTGTGGTCTCCTAGGCCTAGGTGTGTGGCTGCCTGCCAAGATGTTACAAGGTGTCAGCAAGGGTGTACCAAGGTCAGCCTAGGTGTGGTGGTTGGCCTAGGTGTGTGGTGGTCAGCCTAGGTGTGCATGCAAGATAGGCTAAGATGCAAGTGATCATGCAAGGTAGGCCAAGGTGAGATACGATGCTTGACCTAGGTGTGAGATCTAGTCAAGAGTGGGTCTCAGTGACCACACTTAGGCAAATAAAGTCTGGAAATCTAGGTTTCCTCTTGAAGAACATGAATGCTAAAATCATAACTTTTATTCCAAAATCTGAGATTTCATGAGATGAGTTCAAAAACATAGACCTGGGTACCTGTACTTGAAGATTTCATGAAAACAAACACAAAAATATGGATCTTGATACAAACTTTCGGATCAAAATATGATTTTTCTTCAAGATCACATGAACATCACTTTCTTTTTCTAAAATAAAATTTAAATCGATGCATGGCTCATGAATCATGCTAGATCATGCAATGTGATCAGATTAACATAAAGAACAACAAGAGTAGATCAAGAATCTAACCTCAAAACATGGATCTAACGGTTCAAGGTGTGAAGATCAAGCTTGGAATCTAGCTCTCTCACTCTAAGAACTTCTTCCTCTTTCCTAGAGCTTCTCTCTCTTATACGGCAAAGATATAGCAAATGATATGTTTTCTTTACTGCTGGCTGACTTAAACCTCTGCTGGGACACGTGGCACTACCGGATTGGATTTCCTCAAAAAGGTGCCTGAGTGAAAAGACAAGGATATGACAAAGTGTGTATAACAAGTAAGGTGACAAGGTCACTCTGACAAGGCAAGGATCTCGGATCAAGACATAGGCATCGGCAAGTAAGGTCTCAATGATCTCGGCTAGAAAGGATAACACTTGACCTAGCTGTGCCACACATCGGCCTAGATGTGCCACACCTCGGACTAGGTCATACCAGTCCAGGAACAAGATTACTAGGTGCAAGGTCTAGGACATCTAGATGATAACGCCTTGGCCCAGATGATACATATTTCAGCCTAGGTGATGCACACCTCGGCCTAGATGATGACATCTTGGCCAATGTGCCAGGGTGAAGGTGGAGGTCAACCAAAGTGGATTCCAAGATGGTCCTAGGTGTAAGAGGTTCAAGGGTGTGACGTAGGCTTAACGCGCCAAGCAAGGAACAAAGCATACTAGTAATACAAAGGTAAATCACACAAGCACCAAACAAGACAGGGATCTTTACTTAGGCAAAACAATTCAAAATCTACAAATGCATGCTCATCAAGACAAAATCATGCAGATGTACATGAACGTGACTAAGACGAGAATGAGGGTCATTACATACGCTTTATTGGCCCACCAGAGAGAAATTGACCTCAATCTCACACTTTACAGGACGCAAATCAGAAGGAAGAGGAACCTCTGTCAAGGTGCCACATTTTACCAGCTTAACTGGAGAGAAATGAACCTCCACACATTATCACAACACTCTAGATCATATAACTACCACATAAGTGTAACACGTACACAGAATCTCTTCAATTTCACAACACATCACATAATCCTTACCCAAATTTACCTCTTTTGTTTTATCAAACCTTAATAATAAATTCGGGCTTCCCATCACCACCATTCTAACCAAAACCAACCACTTTCCAATTACCCACATCAACCAAAATTGTACAATTCTAACTCCCAAAACTCAAACCCAAAATCCCTATTGTGCTTTTGTAAAATTTCATAACAAACATGCTTTCAAATATAATAAAAACTACCACATGTATATCTATAACACGGTATTGAAAATGAGAAAAGAAATCCCTATCTATTGAAGCGAAGAGGAGAAAGCCAAAAAACCCACGATGACGAAAACACACTTCGCTTAGATTGAATGGAAGCCCTCGTGTCATGACCCGAACCCTCCTCCATGGGTTAAGGACATAACCGGCCAGTAATCATGAGATTGCCTACGGCCTTAAACCAAATCAGATATATTTTAACAAAGTTAAGGGGGCCAAACGGAAGCAATTTCAAACTTTTGTCCAAAGAGTTGTGCTTACGTGGCACGTCATAACATTTCACAAACGTACATTAATAACTCACATCAAGGAAAGTTAACATATAAGCTTTACACAACAGGATAATTCAAGTCATGGTCAGCCAATTAAAACTATATACAACCGTAATTCAAAGTTCTCGCCAACATGACAAAATATAACAAAATAGTAAAAGGGTGAAAAAAAGTCTCGTGCATGAGACGTATGGGCTGACTCTTCAAAACCTTGACTGTTTCACACAAACTTCACTGAGTCTAGGTTTGGACCTCCATTGGCTCACCTATAGACACATGAATGAGCGTGAGCCTGAGCGAAAGCCCAGTGAATAATACCAAATAAAGAAGGTACACGAACGGTATTTAGAACAACATACATCAGACGGCCTTGGGCCTAATTCATGTTTCTATCTAGTATATATATATATATACATAGGTCAAGTGACTGCGGTTCCAAACACATCAAACGGCCTCGGGCCCAATTCATTCATATCCGACGGCCTTTGGCCCAATCGTTCCTGTCCGACGCCCTTTGGCCTATTCATTCATGTCAAACGGCTTTCGGTCCATTTATTCATTCTTGTCTAACGGCCTCCAAGCCAATCTTTTATGTCAAACGGCATTCGGCCCAATCATTCATGTCTAACGGCCTTTGGCCCATTCATTCATGTCAAATGGCCTTCGACCCATTTATTCATTCATATCAAACGGCCTTCGGCCCAATCTTTCATATCAAACGGCCTTCGGCCAATCAATTGTACCCAACGGCCTTTGGCCCAACCATATGGTATAACAAACATTTGTCCACAATTCAAATTAACAACTTATAAGACTTATATGAGAATAAGCAATTGGACAAATAACATACTTCAAAATATCTTTACTAAGATATTACTCACAGTGTTCTGCCGCGCGGATTTACCCTGGAACTCGACCCTGCACATTTCATGAACACAATGGGTCACAAACAATTCAATCCGTTCTTAATTCTTACATCCTTCTTAGGCTTATTTCTTATCCTTTTAACTCATTTATGATGCTCAATGCATGCCTAAGAGTTCTTAGAAATGGAAGAGAACAGAAAATGAGACACAGAACACCTTTACAAAATTTCTGAAACAGGGGTCCCCGCTCGAGCGTGGGTTCCGCCGCTCGAGCGGACCCCATGGGTCTGCAAAAATAGTGGTTGCCTTATTTTTACGCTTGAGGGTGAATTCGGACGCTCGAGCTGAAAGTTACACTACATGGCTCCCCGCTCGAGCGTGAATGTCCCCGCTCGAGCGGACATCAATGTCTACAAAAATTCTGGGAGCTCGTATTTCACGCTCGAGTGGCGCTTTCCTCGCTCGAGCGGACATGCCAAATTCTGGGTTTCCCAGAACTATTCTTGAGGCTCAAATTCGATATTCAAGGGCTTTAAAGCTCGAATTAAGGTACCAAAAATAGGGAAACACATTATATATCA